ATAGTTCTAGAAACGTGGCGTGACACTAGTCATGTGACTTCGCTGACGCAACAATATGTATAAGAATTTACAAGTTTTTTTTTCTCACTTCACAATTTCACACTACTTATTACATTGAATTTTCAATTTTAATAAAAGTCGACAGGTTTGTCAGCAGCTTTACTTAAAATCTCTAGATACATACCCTGTTGCTAAATATCGAAAAACGTCATTACCACGTCGGCTTCTTTTATATTGGACATAGAAATTCTCACTCAGGTCATCAAAGAGACCGGCATGGTCTTGTCGACATCCCATGAGTCTTGACACAGTGTGAGCGGGGTCAACCTGTTGCCAACAGGTTTTTAAACAGACTGACGCAGTCTTGCAGACAGCGTGGTCGGGTCAATCAAAATTTACTATTATGGATTATATTTAGCTATAAGTCTTCATTATGGATTATTAACATTACACCAACATCAATTGAACGGATCAAGTACTTCAAAACAAGACACTAAACAAGTCGTAAACCTGTGGTTTACAAGATACCCCGTGGAGGCTTCTAAGATATCACCGGCGGTAGTTGTGCTTCAATGCTACTACTGTCAGAAGTTCAGACACTCACGGGCAGCCTGTAAAGCCACCCCACGCTTTGTCAGGTGTGAAGGTCTACACCACGTCAATCAATGCTAGAGACAGAGAACGGACACAACTTGTAGTAACTGCCAAGGAAACCATACGGCCTCCTATCATGATTGCCCTAAGTTCCAGCAAACTAGCAGGAAACAAACAGGTCAGTCATATAATTACAATAATGCCTTTCCTCCAATACTACATTCTAGATCAAGAGTCCAAGAAACAACACGATAAACAGCTGAACCCACTCAACCGCGTCCAACATCTTACACCGACATTGCCACAAGACAACAGACACCTCAAAAACAGGAAAACAGCCAAGGACAACAGATGAAACCAAACACCAAGAGAGTCGACGAAGGATTCATCGAACGACTGGCGGCTTTATCGCCAACGCACTCACGATCTGCTTCTCGGGATCGGTACAGGCGGTACCGCAGCTCTACAAGGAGATTTGTTCGGCTGCCGATTACTATCTCGATCTCGAAAACTCGGATCCAGTCTCCATGGCGGATTGCATAGACAGGCGACACTCCAGGGTGACTTTTGGGTAAGCAAATATAGTTTCCTTTTTACATATTAACATTCAAGGAGATTCATTTCATAAGAAGTTTGAACTTTATGAGCTGTGCAGCAAGTTAGACACAGATATTACAACCATAAACGAAACCCTTCTTAACGAAAAACACAAATTTATTTTACCTGGATACACCATTAATTCAATTCCCCACATTAATAATAGAAGAAGCCTAGCGGCCGTATATAAACATCAGGACCGGCCTTAGCAATTGCGGAGTCCAATTTGGACCATTTTGATGGGGCCCCCTGAACTTAAGATTATTCCAAATTAGGTATCAAGGATATATGCTATTACCTTGTATTAAAAACAATACAGTATCTATATTTATTAGCTTATATTTTGACATAAAACGTGTCAAAAGAAAACTATTTATAAAAAAATCTTTCTTGCTTTCTGTTCTGCAAACTCTTTCAAACTTTTGCCGAAGTTTTAAGTTTTTTTGCATTATCACATTCTATGAATAATATTGCAAGGCTGTTGAGTCTGTCTTGAAGCATGTTTGATCTTAGATGATTATTGATCAATTCTAATTCGGAAAAGGTATTTTCCCTGACAACATTGTGACTGGTATTGTCAAAAATATGGTAGAGCAATAAAAAAAATTTGAAATCCAGTAGTTCCCTCATTCAAAGCAAGGAATTCCAGGATGTTCAAAGGCTTTCCGAAGTATGAAGAATTGCTTCCTTTTCCACGACCAGCATATGACCATCTAAATCTGCTAACTTTACAGACTTGACAAGTTCGTTTTCCTGAATGAGCTTGACATCTGTTAACGCAATTTCCAAATTTGCAGCATGTTTTTGTAATTCCTTCTTTGGAATTTGTTGACATTTAGTCCAAAAGCCAAATAAATCAACTTGTTTTTTTCAACTGCTTAAACCGTGGCTCCAAAGACTGCATAGCCTTCTCTAAGACTTGGTTGAAGCAGTGTACCTTGTAAGCTTCTTTGGGATCAGTAATGGGATAATCAGCAGACTAGTAACTAAAGTGTCTTTTTCACAATTGTTTTGTTGGGAATTCTTGAGATACCACCAAGTCATTCACAAGCTCATTTGCAACAACTAAGACTTGTTCAATGCCAGTCTCTCTATTCTTTATCAGCCAATACAAGAGCTTTTCAAATGAAGAAAGACCTGTGGCAAGATCTACTGTATCACTCTGCAGTTCTTTGCTGACAAAATTTACTTGAAACAACAAATCATGCCAAAAACCAATGAAACAATGAACTTGTAATCTTTCATTTGGTTAGCTAATGATTCAGATTCACTTCTTGCCTGAGCATCCTCTGATGTTTCTGCTACTTCTATAAGCACATCATAGAAATTACCAGCTTTATACCTTACAGCCTTTATACTCTGCATTCGATATTCCCACCTTTTTTGACAGAGAGGCTTTACGGAAAGACCCGTCACATGCTTTCTAAAAACTACCCATCTCTTTGTTGATGCTGAAAAAAAAGCACATAAAGACGCTGAAGTGTTCCAAAAAAAGAAGTCATTGCATCAGGACAGGTTTTGGCCATATCTCCTAATGATAGGTTGTAATTGTGACAAGCACACTGTGTAAAAAACATTGTTTTTATTAAGTTCAAAGGAGAAATATGGGTGCACAAAGATTCTGGAGTAATTGATGATTTTGGAAATTCGTCTGTTAGTGGATTACGGTTTACAGCCTTCTTGTAAAAGTCTTTTGCTAATTTTAGTATTCTATCTTTAATAGGTAGAATCAAATTGATTGAGTTTGGGTATACTAATGGTGTGTATATGGGTAACCTATAAGCTATTCTTAATGCTAAGTTCTGTCGAGTTTGTATTTTATCATATAATGGATTGAACATGTTATAAAGAATCGTACTACAGTAAGATTTGTAAATGTATATTATGGTTTCGGGGTTGCATCCTTTTTGGAAGCCCCGATCTTTTTAGATAGTACAATCTTTGGTTCATATTCTTACATATATCAATGACATGGTTAGTCCACGTAAGTTTAGAGTTAAAGGTTATTCCTAGGAATTTAACAGATTTAGAAAAGAGAATGTTAGTGCCATAAAGTTTTAATTTATTATAAAGTTTTAGATATGGAGAGCAGTGCTGGAGAAAATTTTTACAATGTGCTTAAGCAGGAACTTGAAACATCAAAAGACAAGTAATATCCGAGGTCCGGGCTATGACAATGAAACTAACATGAGAAGAAAGGAATCAAGTGTTCAGGCTCGACTTTTACAAGAAAAATTCAAGAGTACTAATATGATAATATGTAAAGTACTATAACCCATGTATGCTTTAGTCCCCTAGCTCAGGCACTTTCCGGACATAATATTCGGCGTCCGGGTAGTGAAAGTAGGTTTTTCTCGGGGTACTCCTGTTTTCCTCCCACATCAAAGTTCAAGGTATTAGGGTTCTTTGATCCACACCTGATTTTTTCTTCTAAAGTGAAGCTATTTTAACCTCCGAAATCAAGCCAAGACAATCTATCGAATCACTACCTTGACCTGAGCCACCTCAGCCTTCCTGCACAGAATTAAAATTACCCCATAGATATGTTGTTGTTTTGTTTTTTAAAATTATTATCACCAAGTGCTTTTTCACCTTATGTTCTCCAGGTTTTATTTTTAACGCATAAGCGGGGTGAAGAGAAAATTTCTTAACACCCTTTAGGTGAATTTATATTACATGTCTTCTAAATGTATGTTATTACCTGTGGTCTGCATCCGTAAGTGTGATGACTTATTTTCTGGAGGTAAGCTATTCTGGTTTTAAGTGTCTTTCTGACTTCCTTGAAATGTGTATCATGTTAGTTTAGGGTTGATAGTTATGCCTAGACATTTTGCAGATTTAGAAAATGCGATGGGGTAAAGGTATAGTAAAGGCTTCGTTTAGCTAACCAGACACGCTTTAGTCCTTTGTTTAGCCTAACGAAAAAGTACGATTGCTTGAGTTTTAGTGGCATTGAGTATTATTCTCCATTTACTGCACTATTGTATGATTTTGTCAATAGCTATTTGAATTTTCTTTGCCGCTATTGGGGGGGGGGGGGCTCGAGGTGCTCCATAGTGCTATGTCATCAGCGTATTGTAAGGCGTGCGTGAGGGGCGTGGTTGACAATGACGGCTCGTTAACGAAGAGTGTATACAGCCACCGGCTTAAGACAGACCCCTGTGGTACACCTGCGATAAACGTGAAGGGTTTGTAAAAGTGCCGTGTTAATTTTAAGTTGCGCGGATCTATTATTTAGCAAGTTAGATATCCATTTAGTGAAAGTGACTGGTATTTTCTGTAGTTTAGTTCAGTTTACCGTGACAGGTATTTCTATTTAAAACGTTTAACCTTAAGTCAAATTAGATTTAAATAATTTCGACCCAGGGCAAAAAGCAATCGGGGGTGTTCAGAAACGATTATCTCTTCACCCCGCTCATGCACTAGATAGAACGCGTGTGGCATAAGTGACAGGCTTTTGCTTCGATAATAATAGTAAAATTCACGAATAATTTAAATCTGGTTTGGAGGACAAGGATGGCTCAGGTCAAGGTAATGGTTCGGTTACTTGTCTTGGTTGGTTTGGGAGGTTACAACAATTTTACTTTAAAAAAAAAGCAATTTTGGATGTGAATCAAAAAATTCTAATACCCAGAATTTTGTTGTGGGAGGAAAACGGGAGTACCCTGAGAAAAACTCACTTTCACTACCCGGACACCGAATATTCTACCCGGATAGTGCCTGAGTTAGGGGACTAAAACACATATAGGTTATATCACTTTATACATGTCAACATATTACACAGCTTTTATCAAATTCATAGGAGAAATATGGGTGCACCAAGTTTCTGCGGTAACTGATAATTTTGGAAATTCGTCGGATTACGTTTAACAGATTTCTTGAAAAAGTTTGATGCTAATTTTAGTATTATTTCATTAATGGGTGGAATCGAATTTACTGAATTTGGGTATACTAATGGTGTGTACATCGGTAATCTGAAAGCTATTTTAGTGCAAGATTTTGTATTTTGTTATATATTGGATTCGACATGTTATAAAGAATCGTACTACCGTAAAATTTGTAAATATATATTATTCTTCGGGGTTGCATCCTTTTTGGTAGCCTCCAATGTGTTTTAGATAGCATAATCTTTGTTTCATATTTTTACATATATTTCTGATATGGTTTGTTTGTTTGTTTTGGATT